GCCAATCAGCGACCAGCACGCCCGGAGCAGGAACATTCTAGAACGCCTTCAATGGCTGGCACGTCACTGGACGGAATGTTCCAGAACGCACAGGAGCCAATATAGATAGCGAATCATTCTTACTTGTATCCCCTCGTGTCCGCAAGTTATCGATAAAGTGCTTGTCCTACGAACCGGCTATCTTCCAGTCCTACCTTTCTTCGGGGTCATAACAACATGCATTAGTGCTAGGCGTTGTTCAGTGGTCAACTTTGCATTGTAAAGAGCCTGGATGTGCTTTTGTCGCATTATTGACCTGAGCGCTGCCTTTTGAACGTGGGAGCACCAGTCCTTAGCTTTAAACATTTCAATAATACACAAGCTTGGGATTACCTGGATGTGCCATGTAAACTATGCAGACGCCTTGGAAGGAGTGGGAAACAGAACAATAGACATCGTTGTCTGTCCGGCAGTTCCTCCTGCTTGTTCCACCGAAGGCCATAAATTAGTCCACCGACCATACTTACAGTAGGTGGGCTTACCGAAATTCCGAAATGCGTTTTCGTTTCGAAAAGATCAATTAAGTCTGGTTGTAAAATTAATCATCATGCAACATAATTCTATAATAATTCAGTTACCTCAGGATGCCGGCTTGCGAACGAACTTCTTTCCGGCTGCATGCAAGGACGAAAATCTGTAAAAAGTGACTACTTATGTAGCAAGCATTTTCTCATTGATTTTCGATGCCTTTAATCATTCAATTATATTTCATGGAAAACATGCATCTAAATATTCATTCTTTTGCTTATCTTGTAGAGAATGACGTCTTCTTCCAATTTTATACTCAAAAGGAGGTTATAATTCGGTCTTCAAAAACGTTTCCAATTCTCGAATGGTTTCGAACCCGACCTGCAGATACACTTATATTCAGGGTTTCCAAACTACAAGCCCCATATTTTTCGCGTACGGAAAACCAGCCATTTTTCTAAAATATTAAGATGGGAACATATGGGGGTCATAAAATTTACCAGTGGATCTGGGCCATTTACATGGTAAATGACGATTTATGAACGGCCATTTAACGGGATTAAAAATCTCACAATAAGAAACTTTTGTGTAATCGAATTATACCCTTCCTTTGAGTATAAAATCGGAGAAGACATCATTCTCTACAAGATAAACAAAGAATGAATATTTATGTGCATGTTTTCCATGAAATATAATTGAATGATTAAAGGCATCGAAAAGCAATGAGAAAATGCTTGCTACATAAGTAGTCACTTTTTACAGATTTTCGTCCTTGCATGCAGCCAGAAAGAAGTTCGTTCGCAAGCCGGCATCCTGAGGTAACTGAATTATTATAGAATTATTTGCCTAATGATTAGTTTTACAACCATACTTAACTGATCTTTTCGAAACGAAAACTCATTTCGAAATTTCTGTTGGCATTTCACGTGTTAACTCACTTACTGTATATATGCTTCTGAACACAAGGAATCTCGGTGCTTTATGAAAGTAAAATTAGTATATCATATGTCTGCTTTACATTCTCTTAAGGTAATAATAGGGTCTACGTCCTATATTCTGTTGGCCTCTCTGAGTAAGTCATAAATCAAATTGTCGATCAAATAAATAGAATAGATATTTCTACAGTTTAATAGACAATGGTTAAGTTCATTTCGACAACGAGACGAACACGCTTTGTATTGTTGACAGATCAATGAGCTTCCAGGCCAGTCGAGATTTATGATGTTAACCAACGGGACAACAAACCCGCGTCTTAGTGTTTGAATGTCGCTCTTAATGTCCGGGGAACAAACAGTCCGAGTTCGAGGTCCGGGTGATCTACATCCAGGGATGGGGTGAGAATGCCTGGCAAGAGCTAACAAACTTTAAAAAATCCTGATCATTCCTTTGTTTTGCCGTTTTCACCCTGCACTGTTACTTGTCGCTATGCAACTGCCAATTTTTGGCTACAGAATGAGTTTAAGGACTTGATGGACGTACAGGCTTGGGCTATAAATAAGCTGGCGACAGGTGCTGCAATTCAAATGCATTAAAATAAACCTGTGTTTTATCCACGTTTCAACGTCTTTCAACAATTTCATCCCAAACTTATACTGATAGTTCCAGTAAGCTTGAGACCAAAGAAGAGGTCAAATAATAATGGAGTCGCGCCCTTTCCCAACGATGGAATATACATATGTGGCCTCAAAGTGTTAAAGGAAACTGGGAGTGTTCCCAATGATAACACCAGCTAATTAGACTGATAAACTCAAGTTGGATCAAAATCAAATACTCTAGTTAATAGTTCAACTTACTACACTGTCCATTAGACCAACTTAGGCAGAAATTTAAGTTGGGGGCGTTTAAACGTGGTGGAGAGAACAGAGTGAGTGACCAAGTTAATTGTTCACAAATGTTCGCGTCCCTTGACTTCCTGAAATCGTTTTGACCTACCGGTTAAATCCACAAAGCTTGTAGATATAATGCATACACCGAGGAGTCTTGCTTTTACAGCTATTACCACAGGAGATTATAGGTTTGATTCAGTAAGAAGAACAAAGGGACGCGCTAACATAGGGGGATAGAGGAAAAATTTGTTTTATTTGTGCCTAAATCTGATCATGCCTATTTTTGATCGACAATGATTTAATATCTGTTGTTTGTTATGACATTTACGGTAGGCTATTTTCCGGAGGAATGGGCAGTATACACCGCCACTGAACAGAAGTAAAACGGAACTTCGAGTTACATTCCCCTGGAGTTCCCAGGTTTGACATGACCATAGTTGTGAGAGGCAAATGTATGTCAGGCGGCCTCCGCTATACTGCAAGACAGACTACCGATTAATTTTTATATACGTTATCTCATCGTTGTTGTCAGATACGGCTAACTTGGGACCACTCTCTGCCCCAGTACTACAATTCAGGATAAAGCTTAAATCACGGTCTTACAAACACGGTCTTTTTGCCAACATTAAACACGGGTGTTAACTCCCCATAGTATTTGTCTATTTCTGAGTCTGGAGCGTGAGCGGTCATCAGGAGTTTGGCCGTTGAAATCAAATCTGTTCGAGTATTGGCTACTGTGATATGAATAGCTTGAAAAGGATGCCGTAGGCTTGCGTGGCCTCAGTCTCACTCCCGCCTCCATTCTCGTTGGGGTTTAGGGATAGCATGCGATCAAGATTATTGGAAATGGACGTATTTTCTATGGCTAAATTAGCTATACGCCTATGTCTAAGCGCACTATGAAACAGCAGCTTTCTCCCAAATCACGGTACATAGATACATAAAACCTCACAAGCTAGGG